TACACTCGTTCAAATAGTGCACTCTACCAAAATAGAATAATAGTGGTATTTTCAACAGTAAAGACATGAAATACTAATAGGGCAAGACTGACCAAAAAATGACAGTTGAATGGATTAAAAGGCAGATGACATAATTGTTTGTTTTTTTCAAATGTTAAGCACTTACGCAGTTTCGGGTCAATACCCATTAGCATTGATCACTGTCATACATTTCCTGTACATTGAGTGGATCAGACAATTTGTGAAGGCCCTAGGGATCCTCCTGCACACATCCAGAGCAGCTGTGTATAGTTCATCGGCAGTTGTAGGTACTGGGCGCACATTGTGCAGACGACTTTAAACCTCATCCCACTAGTGTTTGATAGGGTTCAGATCAGGACTGAGAGCTGGCCACGGTAGAACACGGGTGTTGTGTTGTTGCAGAAAGGCCATGGTAGATCCACTCCATGGATCCCTTTCCCCAACGTTTCTGTCCGCGAAACGATCACCTCGACGCCGCCAAATCTGACTCTTCCGTCTGCATGGGAGACACAAAAGCGACTTTCATCAGAGAAGATGACACCCCTCCACTAACGATGACGCCAATTGTGATGACCCTGTGCCCACGGACGTCGTGCTTGTCGATGCCGTGGTTGGAGAACAAGACGACGTGCGGGTCGCCGACATCTGAGGTTGTTGGAGCGGAGACGTCGGACCACAGTGTCCCGGTTAATGTGTCAATTATGTGTTCCTATGGTCTGTCGAGCACTTTCCCTTGCAGTTAATAACGGATGTCGCTGGTGTTGACGGGTAACCTGCTGATCTTGTCGAGGTGTGGTGACCCTAGGACGACCGCTCCGAGGAAGGTCATCTGTGGTCTGTGTAGCATTGTATCGATGCAGGAAACGGTAAATTGTGGTTATGTTAACGATGAAATGACGGGCAACATCTTGGATAGACTCTCCAGCTTCCAAACGTCTGATAGCCTGGTTTCTCTGAATGGAAGGTCCAAGAATCGGCCACAGTTTTATACCCACTACAGTTCGTGACAGATCATGCATTTTCGATTTCACGAGAAATGGGTGCATGATACCCACATATTCATTGAATTGGTGCGTTTGGGTGACTCGTTTTTTATGTTGCATTTTTGCTCAGGGCTTCCAAAATGCAACCAAAATATTGATAACACCATCAGGCTTCACTACATGCTAAAACTCGTATCAATTAATGGTTCCGTGTTTGTTACTTATTTGCTTAAAACCACTTGCTTGTCTTTTGCGTGTGAGTATATGTACTATTCTGCATTGAGTGTTTTAAATATATGTTTTCTTATAACTGGCATATTCTTTCATAAGGCCAGAAATGTAACCTTTACTTAACACAGAGGTAGAAGACGCTGGCATTCCAACAGTCACATATGTGTTGAGCATGCTACTTCTAGCTAAAATTTTCAAACTGCCACGAACATTATTTTGTAAACCTCCAGCCCTGAATGTGAATGTAAAGCACTTGTTGATGCTTTATCTGATATTTTACAAACCGTCAACAAATTATCAACAAAGCCTTGCAAAAAGTAAATTAAATGTACCAAAAAGAACAATGGTATGATATTGAATGTTAAGAGGCAAATCATAATGTGGAGGACAAAAATATCATGAGTTCAATACAAAAACAAATTTTAATTAACATTTAGGGGTATTTGTCCATCAGAGTGAGTGAGTGAGTGAGTTAAACTTTATAGTCACATCGGCAATATTTCAGCAATATCGTGACTAAATCAAGTTGTACAGTGAGTGAGTTCAGATTTTAAGTCACATCGGCAATATTTTAGCCATATCCTGACTTTCAAAGGTTATACATAATAAATATGTGTCCACCAGAAACATTAGTACAAAAGTTATTCAGAAGAAAACAACATGCAAATTAACAAAATGAGTTGGAACAACTGAAACCTTATTGATCAAAACAGGAACCAATTCTGGAAACTATAAGATGATAGTAGAATTTATTTATCCTTAGCCAAAGAGGCTAACATGCCACTTCAAGAACATTTACAACTCTAAACATGGGACAGTCTTAAAAAAACACAATAACAGCTAATGGAATTCTCACTTTTATAAAACAATTCAAGACCTGGCGAAGATAACATAAGGAATGAATTCTTACATGGGAAGGAAGATAAGACTGACCCAAACACTACATGCGTTTTGCACAAAGCAGCCGCTTGGGTAAACTATTTTGCAACTTTAAAAATGAAAGAATATTTGAACACATGGAACACATGGAAAAAACTCTATTACAAGACCACTGTCAGTCTGTATTTAGAGGGGGATACCGAACATCAGATAATGTATTTGTTCCTAAAACATAAATATACTGTGTCAAATTAAAAAACTTCACATTTTTAAAAGTAATCCCTTATATATGATATACAACGGACAAATGTATCAGAGAAGGTAATTTTTAATCGTTTTTGTCCAAAGAAGGATTTTAATTAATGGTGGTAACCATAATTTATTCCAAGCATGGTATTCGGTAATAACATCAACAGTTTAAATCATAAGTCCCAAGCACGAGAATCTGAAGGCACACAAGTTCAGTAGTGTGTATGGACACCATGTGCGTTGACAACTGCCACACAACGCCTCTGCATGGACCCTGTGATGGACGTCATTGTTGCTGCAAAATGGTGCCAAGATCTTGCAAATTCTGTGATTGGTTCTGGAGAGTGTGCAGACTTCTGCCAAGGGCATCCCAGACTTGTTCGATGGGATTGAGGTCGGGGGACCTTGACGTCCATGACATTGACTCCCGCATTCTGAAGATAATTCCTTGTCAAAACTGCTGTGTGGGGTCTGGAATTGTCATGTTGGAAGATCAAACCGGGTCCATGTGCTGCCATAAAAGGCAGAAGATCTGGTTCCAGTACCTGGTCGAGGTAAGCAACAGCGTTGAGGTTGCCACGGATGACAAGAAGCCTGGAACATGCAGTGCCACAGAAAGCACCCCACACCATGACACTTCCGCCTCGAAATCTGTCAATTTCCTGTCAACAACAGTGGGCGTAACATTCATGACGGCGCCTCCACACCCTCACCCTACTATCAGCAAATCGAAGATTAAATCAGGATTCATCCACTGAAGACGACTTGATTCCGATTCCTCTGAGTCCATCGTAAGTGCCGCTGTGTCCACAACTGACGTTGACGTCTGTGTAAATTAGTCAGAATCGGCCCGCAGTATGGCCGTTGTGCTTGAAGGTGAGCAGTTCTCAGACGGTTTCGAACAGTTTGCGCACTCAGTCTACCCCTAAACAGTTCATTTCTGGTTGATGTAGCCGTCAAAAATTGGTTACGGAGGTGACGTAAGACAATCTGACGATCCTCTGCATGTGATGTCACACGTGGTCGACCTGGCCGAGGGCGATCAGCGGTGGTACCCGTTTGCTGTAGACGCGTCTGTAAATCATAAACAGTCCGTCGACTACAACCCATCGTCCTTGTGACTTCAACTACGGACATTCCCGTCTGCAACATGCCGATGGCACGTTCACGTTGCACATTTGAAAGGCGTGGCATGCCAAATGACCGTAAAAATTGTTTTCTTGTGTTTTTTCGTTTTTTGTAATGACTGTAAACAAGTATGGCTGAAAACACGTGCGGTATTATGGCCTCGTGACCAGTTGCACGTATAAAACCACTGTTGCCACTATTGTGCTGTGCACGATTTAGATCGATTCATCTGCACAAAAACGGGCGTTATCTGAAGACAATACGTGGACATTACTGTTTAAATACACAATAAGGGCCAACAATGATACCTGGTCAAAATGTTTAAATTTTAGGATTGTGAAGTTTTTAATTTGGTTCAGAATATATTCTACAAAATGTTTTAAAAATAGAATATACAGTTGTTTTGAGGTCTTTCTAAAGGCCTTTGATTTAGTTGAGGGATCACTACTTCTGACAAAGATATGATGAATCAAAATATAAGGAAATGTATTGGAAAAAGTATCATCATTATACCTCTTATGAAGTGAAACCGATTTCAAGGACATTTCACATCTCCAACATCGGGGTGAGAGAAGGATGCATTTTGTCTCCCTCATTATGTAATAAACTCCTCAATGAGCTTCCACTTTATATCAAACCTGAAACTTATTATAACACTTAATGGTTTAAACATTTGTTTAAAAACCTGAAGATAAATGGTGATAAAACAAATCTTGGTGATACACAAATACTGGTTACAGACAGATGTAATACTTAGGAACTACATTTGAAACAAATGGTAAACGTAAAAATAGTGCTAAAGCCCCATTCATAAAGGCCCTAGGGCTACCTCAAGATTCAGTCGCCATTCTTAACTAAGATATACCTTTAGCTCTTACTTACAAATTATTCAAAACATTAGGAGCCAGTAATCGTCTTCAATAGTGAAATCTGGGATATAGAATCAATCCTCCTGAACAACTCTAGAAGCTGTAGCTCAAATTTTGTAAATCCTTGACTAAACAAGTTGCAAAGCATATTACCTCCAACCGGGCGTCAATAGAAATCTTGCAAGTCTTTATATGTTCCTAACTAAAGTGCTCAAGTGATTTGATGCTCTTGTGAGGTGAGGCCATTACACATACAATAACAGCAGTCGTTTTGAATAGGTTAGACTAACAGATAGTCTATGAAATCTTATATTACGCAATACCCTTCTCGACTCTAAATTCTAGAATAGGTTTTATCCATAGAATAAATATATTCCACAGTCATAGTGCAGGACTATGAATAGGTAACACAGCTAATAAACTGACATGCATGGCTGGCTCCCTGTTGCGTCAGTATGGCGCTGAGAGTTCTCACGGTTCCGTTTCAATGTTTTATAGTGCATCCCGCATCTCCAATACAATAAACCTCCTCTGTCTTTTGAAATCCGATTGTATACATGACACCACCTTGGGGCGTGGGAAGAAATCTCGAATGTGATGCACATAACTTCTGCAAATTATATGTCCCAAGTGTTGTGTGTACAAACGCTCTCACTGGAAGGCAATTGTGGGATTATTCAGTGGAAAAACTGGTACTTGTGGGGTGAATTTAGAAATGTGGGCTGCACCCCACATTTCCATCTAAATAATGTTTTTTTTCTGATAGCTGTTGGGTTAAAGTTTTAAAATTTGACTGCACCCAACATTAACTTGGACACCATTTTGACCAAATCCGTCATGTGTCCGTTCGAGTCATGGACAGTTGCTAAAAATAGCATTCCATGTAACTGATGGCTACTGCCACCTATATTGCAAAGGGGAGGCAACTCTTTCCCGCGCCGCACGCGCAGTTTTTCCAGCGACGCATACGCATTTTTTCCAGCGTCGAATGCGCTCATTTCGTTTTACCACAGCATGCAGAAAAGACAACATGGCAAAATCGAAAACTACGAGGGCATCGGAAAAAGAGCTGTAAGTTTTTTAACATTACTTGAAAAATGAAATATCATCTTACTTGCTCCCATGCAATCAATAATGAAAGATTGAGTTTGATGTAGACAAAGGAAAACATGAGATTGCAGACGCAGGTCGGGATGAACTAGAATTTTGGCGTAACAAAATGGTAATTTTGATTAACTTCAAGCATTCTAATTTACGTATGGCATGTTATTCATTTAGATATGTTTGACATTTTGGATAGAGCCTAATTATATGTATTGTTGCCATCTTGCCGCGATTGTTGGGCACGTTTGCTAAGTCTGTGTTTTGTTATTTATGGAATGATTTATCCTTACAGATTACTATGATCATGGGTGAACCTATTATTGGTAATTTGTCCGTGTTCACGTTGGAAGACAAAAAATATCTGGAATTTTTTAATCTTCGACGTGTTTATGAAGCTGTCATTTATTCAAATGGTTGCTTATTCAGATTCCAATTCTTATCTGCCTACATTTTGTCCAAGCTGGTGTTAACGGAGAGAAACGCATTTTTTTCTGTGTTTTTGAAAGGTTTGTGTTGATTGTTATGTTTGGTTATTTTTTAAATAAGGGTATCAGGATACAGACGCAGGGCTCAATTTAAGGATGTTCAGTTTGGTTGCACAAGTGCAAGCTTGTTGCATCAGAGAGAATCAGGTTGCAAAAAAATTGCATCATTCTTTAATGTATTAAAGATGAAAATACTCTTTTATTCATTGATTAAGCACATCAGTTTCTTTCTTAGCCAGGTTTTATTTAATGCTAGCAATCACTTTTAAAACATGATAAGTATTTTCAAGTGAGCGTTTTAGCAGGGCACAGCACCCTGCCTGTCTTTTCTATTTTGAGCCCTGCCCTTTCTAATACGTCCTTACTGTCTTGCACATTTGTTACCGATGGCAAGTTGTAATACTTTTCCTAACTCCCTTTTTAACAACATTTATTTATCTATCGGTCTAATTAAATGAATGAAGTGAGAGTTAGGTTCATAGGCTACGGTTTTGACGGCGTACCGACCTGCGGTGTTGAAAGAGTTTAAACTCAATAAACTTTACCATCTTGATGTCGTCCCTTTTCTAAATAAAGTGACCGGCAATTTTGTGCAACCATGCAAAGAATTAGCTTGCATTTACAGTGAACTAAATGCAAGGTGCCTATTAGGCCTATATTTTAATTGCCGTTTTACAAATTCTACACATTTATGCATTGTTACAAGTCAAATTGTGTTTAATGATTTTATCGGAAAACATTCTAATGTTGTACATTTTTGGAGAAAATCGTGGGCAAGTAAGTGTAAGTTGCAATTTCCAGTCACATTTCTGAATTCTCATGAAGTTCTATATCTAGTGTGGCATTTGTGAAATATGACAAACCCGTTGGTTCATTACATCATTTTTGCATCTGTAAAATCACATTGTCAGATGACATTTATCTTTCGCAGAATGGATGGTTGGGCTCTACACATGAATTTTTTCTACCCCTGCAGACGAGCTCAAAACATACTAGATTTTCAAGATGGCATAAAACAGAAGGTAAGAAAGCATGTACAGTTTTCGACGTAATAAGCGCACAGGGCGCTCTCAGAATTAGAAATAGGGGGTTCTTATTAGAATATGATTTGGGGGAAATAGTCGAAAGTTCGGTAATGTTATGGTTTCTGCTGACAGCCTGAAATAATACAAAAAAAAGTCTGTGTGTAATATACACGACAGATATATTTTTCCAGGATTTAATTTCCCGTAATTAAGGGTGCATATAACACACGAGTGCGTATTATACACGAATAAATGTACATGAATTGTGTACATTGATCAGTTGGAAGGGTGCTAATTGGGATTGTTCACTAGCCAATATATTGGAAAGTATCGCCGTGGACGCTTATTAGAGCAGGGCGCTTATTACATCGAATACGACATGAGCATTTGTAGTACATGTCTTCCCTTATGATTTTAGCTCAAGGTTTCCTTTTTGTTCCACTCATCTGGGAAAATATGGTCATGCTCCAAATTTTACACTACCAAACTGTAGTATTAACTCACATAACTGTACTAGTAAAGTCGATATTACAAGTTGAATAAATCTACTAATGTCAGTGTTGTAACTTCCATTTGGGTATACTTAATCATCAGAAGTGCTAAAAACCTAATCATACACGCCTTCATGGTCTAGTTTTGTAATTTGCTGGTTTTGATATATACAAAAGCTGTTATTTCTTTTTTACATGAGTTGCATCCTCTCACCAGTTTATATTGGTTTATTATTTTATTGTTTTTTTAAATTATTCTATATTTAAATTGAATATTCCTATATTTATCCAAATCATCTGTGATTACTATTTTCTGTCAAGTGACAAAACACTACACCATGGTCTTATAATACATATATTTGTTATTTGTAGTACACAAAGAAAACGTTCATACCTCTAAAAGTGCAACCAGTTGGCACCGAGGTGTGGGTTAAAATAGATCATGGGGACTACTTCCCTGCTGGGAAAATACAAGGATGCCATGGGGACCAACTTCTTCTTCTAAATAAATGGTATGCAAAATCATGTGAATTTCAATGTATACATTTCATTTGTTTTTTGTGTCTTTATTCCTTTTCTTTGTTGTTAGGACTGAAAGTAGTTTTATATCTGTGTGTTCTTTGTGGTATTCATAGCTTAAAGTTATGGGATGCGGTATATGAAGTATCTTTGTATTATGCTTATGTGGAAAACTATGTAAAAAAATAGTGGGCTGCATGTCCGAAGTTGTGGCATGTCCTCGAGTGAGTGAGTGAGTGAGTATGGTTTTACGCCGCTTTAAGCAATATTCCAGCAATATCACGACGGGGGACACCAGAAATAGGCTTCACACATTGTACCCATGTCGGGAAACGAACCTGGGTCTTCGGCGTGATGAGCGAACTCTTTAACCACCTGGCTACCCGACCGCCCGGCATGTCCTAGAAATAAGGGGTATGTAATTGAAACCCTCCAAAATTAAACTTTATTTTAAAGTATATCCTGAGAACATGTTTTTGAATTCACTGCACATACATGTACAGTACTACTTGAATTTAAATACCTCCTGTATGGGTGTGAAGACCCCTGACGGTCAAACCACTGACATGTTGACATTCCAGTCATCCACCTTAATGCATCTGTTTAATCTGAATATTTTCATACAAAAAGCATGTCGTTCATAATTTTTCCTGGTGTTCATAATGATGATGTATTACATGTACGCTGTATTCTTGTGTCATTTCTTTTCTTTTCTAAATGTTGGCTATTATATCTTTGTTAAATCCTCTTCAGGGTGTCCAAAAACTTGGTGATCATAGCCTTACAAGAGGGAAAACAGGTATGCTTTTGTCTTTCTGTTATTTCTGTGCTAAATACTAGAGTGGATTGTTATATGCATACTATACAGCTGTTAACTATCTCTTGGATTCTCCTTTTTTCAAGATTTGTATAGTAACATTATAGGATCACTTTAAATGCTTCATCTGAGTGATATATGTATCCATGCTTTTTTTTTTTCATGTGTTAAATTTTTCAATAAAAGTTCAAGGGATACATTGATGAATTGAACACTTCATAGTATTTCCAAGTCACTGATGATCGGAAAAATGCTTCTGGTATATGGATGTAAAATAGTTTTGACCTTCTGCATGAAGTTTCAGCTGGTTATCTGTGTGAATTTCCAGTTCATTCTTCTTGTTGGTTGGTTGGTTGGTTGTTTAACGCCGCAATCGGCAATATTCCAGCTATATGACGGCGGTCTGTAAATAATCGAGTCCGGACCAGACATCCTGTGATTAATAGCATGAGCATCGATCCACGCAATTGGGATCGATGACATGCATCAACCAAGTCAGCGAGCCTGACCACCCGATCCCGTTAGTCGCCTTTACGACAAGCATAGCCACCTGTTACGGCAAGCATGGGTTGCTGAAGACCTATTCTACCCCGGAATCTTCACGGGCCTTATTCTTGTTGAACGTTAATACTGCCTGCTTTGGTGCTGTTTCTTTGTTCATCAATACTCTTGATGCTAGTTTGTCTAAGTTGAAAAAAACAGCGAGACACAGCTGATGAACATTTGTCGGAGTAAAAAACCCTATTTACAGGACTAAAGATTTAGGTTTTCAACAACAGAAGTTGATCAGCAAATCATGATAACTCTATTATTTCTATGAATTGTCACTCTTTGATGAACTTTATGGTTCAAACTAAACATCCATACAGTTAATATATTGCTGTACTCTAGGTAATGATATTTATGCTAATGACAAAGATGTTGCCATACTTGCAGGATCACATATCACTAGCTTTCAGTCTTAAAGCAGAAAGTATTTGGGTTTCTTTTAGCCCTTTAGAAGTTATTAGTATAGTGTAGCAATAGGTTTTAGTTTCAATATGTTTTTATTTGTTTATACTTGTGTTCATTTGTTTCTTGTGAATATATAAAAAGAAGTTTTGTATCTGTTTTCTGCCTTGTGGGATGCAGGAGTAAAAGTCGTGGAGTCGGGGTATGAATTATCTTTTGGTTTAACTCTTAATTTGGAAAGTCCTGTAAAATTAGTATTTAGAATTATTAACAATGATAACTGTTGTTTTGATGTTTCCATAAACTAGTGAGTATTATGTCAAACTTGTGATGGATGTGTCCATAAAATGAGGGCTATTCTTTATTTGATTGAATTATGATGTTTATGTGACAACATAAATCTTGCCGATGAATGTTTAATTGAAATGTAATATTCAAAACATGCCTAAGACAATATAAACAGTTCTATCTTCACTTTTAGACACTCAAAGCCTGTTGGGTCTAGGGGAAACTGCTACAATTTCAAGCCCTGATGATGCTTCCGGTCTTCATGACCCTGGTCAAGAAACACCTCAGCAGACAGCATCCTCATCCAGTGTCAGTGTTTGGGGTCATTCGTTTGTTGAGACATGGTCACCTCTGATGGTTCTGAAAATGAGAAGGCCATGCCACTCTCCAGACTGAAGAGAAAATTTTGCAAGAGACGCTGTGATATAGGTGGCAAGAAGAGGTCTGCTACTTCTCCTATTCCAGATCATGACACTAGTGACTGCAACTCAAGTGCTTCTGAATATCATCCTTGTAAGAAAGACATTGACACTTCTGATTTAGACACTGAGAACTTCCAGGCAACCTGTTCGAAAACTGAGGTGTACAAGAAAACAATACATCCTGATCATAAAGGACATTCAGTTGCGGATATCAAAGGCAGCAGTGATTCTTCTCTTTCGGAATTTCTTCATCTTAAAAAAGAGATTATGCAGGACACAAATGAAATACTGAAACGTTACCTTCAATCTCAAGATTCATCCAATCCGATGATAAAATGTATGACATTAATCATCCATAGGTGTTTGTGAAGAAGATTCTTAGGTGTTCAACAACCTCTAATATATAATAGAAAATGGTGTCCATTTTTGTTTGATTGCTTTGTAGTTCAAACACAGATGTAGCTACACACTCCAAGTTTGGGGCTGCGATTAAGGTTCAAGGATGTATGATAGGGAGGGTGGGGAGGGAGGTGGATATATGATAGGGAGAATCAAGGGGGGTGGGGATGGGAGGTGGATGTATGATAGGGAGAATCAAGGGGGGCGGGGAGGGAGGTGGATGTATGATAGGGAGAAGCAAGGGGGGCGGGGAGCGAGGTGGATGTATGATAGGGAGAAGCAAGGGGGGCGGGGAATCAGTGTGCTTAGTTCATTTCTCCTTTCTTTTACCATTTCTTCATGGAAAACGGCATCATTAGTTCTGCATATCGGGCCCCGGGCCCTGCCCGGGCAAATCTGGAAACCTACGAGGTAATTCCCTTGGATGCTCAGATAGCTACGGGCGAAGACCGAGAGGGGGTCGGTCCAGCATTTAGGGTGGAGATAGACCTAAAGACTCCGACAGCGTCCCTCATACAAAAATGTTGAAAGTTAAACTATCCAACGTATCGTCGGGGTTATCTATAATGTGGGGGAGAGGAGACAGAAGTGACTGATTTCGTCTGTTTCGGCCGATTCGCCTGACTTTGGTTCAACCCTCGGTGTGCTCGCTACGTTTTGCCTGGCTCAACAGCGACGCAATTTCGGGACCGAGCGGAAGGGTACTGAAGCTACAGGGAGACAGGGGGACTGCTATCACCTGGCTCGATGACATTGGCTCTCTTCCCCCATGGACGATGCGCCGACCGAGACGAACGTTACGCGAGGTACGATGAGACAGGAGGACCGCTATCACCTGGCTCGGACGCACGGCAGACAGACGGAGACAAGGGGGACTGCTATCACCTGGCTCGGACACACTCACGTAATATCAACGGAGACAGGGGGACCGCTATCACCTGGCTCGGACGCACGCACGGAAGATGAAGACAGGGGGACTGCTATCACCTGGCTCGGAAGGCACGGTAGATCGACGGAGACAGGGGGACCGCTATCACCTGGCTCGGACGGACGCACGCACGGCATACGGAGACAGGGGGACCGCTATCACCTGGCTCGGACGGACGCACGCACGGCATACGGAGACAGGGGGTCTGCTATCACCTGGCTCGGACGCACGGTAGATCGACGGAGACAGGGGGACCGCTATCACCCAGCTCACACGGCTGATGCGCAGGTACACGGGGACCACTATCACCTGGATCGGCAAAATCGCCAAATTTGCAAATACCCGGGGACCGCTATCACCTAGCTCGTACACACGGAAGACAGGGGGACCGCTATCACCTGACTCGCAGATACGAGAGGCACTCCGACGACAGGGGATCGCTATCACCTGGCTGGAGGAAAGTGTCTCTCGCCCGCACCACCGCAATTCGGTGTGCTCACCCAGACCGCCGCGCATGCACCTACACAAGGCGACCCCTGGGATAAACGGGCATGATGCTGGGACCGATTGCAATTGGCGACCAACCCTCTCATGACGTGATTGGACGGCGGGGGGTTTATGTCCTTCACGTCGCGAGAGGTAGAAAATGGTACACCGGTAAAATGAGAAGCAGCAAAACACGGGACATGAATTCCGTGGTCGGCCGAGCGGCAACTAGATTTATCAGTCGTGAGCAGGACCCAGTCTGAACGTCGGACTCGCGGTCCAGCGTGCAGTCACGAGAGACTCGACTGAGACGGCTAGTACGTGCCGGCGCCGGCACCGAAGACTCAAACGGTCGTATGCCGGGATTCCCTCTGTCCCGGCAGTGAAAACAGACGGGGCCTGGGCGGCGAGGTAGGCGGCAGCGACGGCGGCGGCGGCAGGGTCTGTCCTTTCAGCAAGGGACTAACTTTTAAAACCACTGCCAAGCCGACCAACTTACACCCGCGGCCGCGTCCCTTCTCCCCCTGGCAAAGGTGACGCTTATCTGGTTGATCCTGCCAGTAATTATATGCTTGTCTCAAAGATTAAGCCATGCATGTCTAAGTACAAACTGCGAATGGCTCATTAGATCAGTTATGGTTCCTTAGACGATACAATCCTACTTGGATAACTGTGGCAATTCTAGAGCTAATACATGCACAAAAGCTCCGACCCTCTCGAAAGGGAGGGTGAGAGCGCATTTATCAGTCCAACAGACCAGTCGGGTCGCAAGGCTCGCAAATTTGGTGACTCTGGATAACCCTTGCGGATCGCACGGCCACGAGCCGGCGATGCGTCTATCAAGTGTCTGCCCTATCAAACTGTCGATGGTAAGAAATTTGCCTATCATGGTGACCACGGGAATCAGGGTTCGATTCCAGAGAGGGAGCATGAGAAATGGCTACCACATCCAAGGAAGGCAGCAGGCGCGCAAATTACCCAATCTCGATACGAGGAGGTAGTGACGAAAAATAACAATACGGGACTCTTTCGAGGCCCCGTAATTGGAATGAGTTGACTCTTAACGTGTGCACGAGGATCTATTGGAGGGCAAGTCTGGTGCCAGCAGCCCACTAATTCCAGCTCCAATAGCGTATATTAAAGCTGTTGTGGTTAAAAAGTTCGTAGTTGGATCTCGGGGACGTTCGCGTGGGTCCCTAGCTGTCAAGCGGCTCGGTGCACCTCTCTCTCAAAAAGGTGGTCTCTTGATTGAGTGGCCTGATCGAGTGGCCGGCTGGTTTACTTTGAAAAAATTAGAGTGTTCAAAGCAGGCACAGCCCGCCTGTATAATGGTGCATGGAATAATGGAATAGGACCCCGGATCCTATTTTGCTGGTTGTGGATAACCAGGGTAATGATTAAGAGGAACAGGGCGGGGGCATCCGTATTGTGACGCTAGAGTTGAAACGAAAGTCTTCAGGTTCCAGGGGAAGTATGGTTGCAAAGCTGAAACTTAAAGGAATTGACGGAAGGGCACCACCAGGAGTGGAGCCTGCGGCTTAATTTGACTCAACACGGGAAAACTCACCTGGTCCGGACACTGGAAGGATTGACAGATTGAGAGCTCTTTCTTGATTCAGTGGGTGGTGGTGCATTGCCGTTCTTAGTTGGTGGAGTCATTTGTCTGGTTAATTCCAATAATGAACGGGACTCTAGTTCGCCGGTACCTCGTTGCCGCACGAGGTCGCCCTCGAGGCACAACTTCTTAGAGGGACGGGTGACGCTTAGTCACACGAAGTAGAGCAATAACAGGTCTGTGATGACCTTAGATGTCCGGGGCCGCATGCGCACTACACTGAAAGAGTCAACGTGGATGCCCACCTGCTCCGAGAGGAGTGGGAAACCCGATGAATCTCTTTCGTGATTGGGATTGGGGCTTGCAATTGTTCCCCATGAACGAGTAATTCCCAGTAAGCGTCGGTCATCAGCCGGCGCTGATTACGTCCCTGCCCTTTGTACACATCGCCCGTCGATACTACCGATTGAATGGTTTAGTGAGACCCTCGGACTGGGTGCCGGCGACTGCTTCAGCAGACACACAGGAAACGGAAAGACGGTCAAACATGATCATTTAGAGGAAGTAAAAGTCGTAACAAGATTTCCGTAGGTGAACCTGCAGAAGGATCATTAACGTTCGGGACGGCCACGTCGACTTAAAAAAACTTACAAGCAAAGTCGCAACCAAGCAAGAACAGTATTCCCTACGCAGTCACGAACGGAAACGCTGGTCATTGAGAGAGAAAAAAACACAAGTTCATTTCGACTTACAAGTAAGCTGGAAAACATTTGTCTTCAATTCCGACAAGTCATTCGTGGCCGACAAAGTCACCACCCAAGATGATCCACAAAACAACAACAGCAATCGCTGGTCCTTGAGAGAGAGATACACAAACGCAACCGTCCGTCATCAACACCATCCCGTCACCACCGACACACCCAACATCAAACGCTACAAAAACGACCTTTTTTCAAATGCCATTCGTAGCGGCGCCCCAGGGTGATGGGAACCCGTTTCCGACATCGGCCGTGTTCCAAACCCCCAAAAAGGTTTGCCTGTACCCGATTCCTCAAAAGTGACGCGCCGCTCTTCCAACGTCATCGGCGTCTTCCGTAGCGTCCCGGGGGGTCGGGAACCCGTTCTCGACATCGGCCGCGTTCGAATCCCAAAAGGGTTGGCCTGTAAACGATTCCTCAAAAGTGACGCGCCGCTCTTCCAACGTCATCGGCGTCTTCCGTAGCGTCCCGGGGGGTCGGGAACCCGTTCTCGACATCGGCCGCGTTCGAATCCCAAAAAGGTTTGCCTGTGCCCACTTGCGCAAAAGCGAGGCGCTGCTCTTCAAGTATTATCGGCGTCTTCCGCAGCGTCCCGGGGGTTTGGGAACCCGTTCTCGACATCGGCCGTGTTCGAATCTCAAAAGGGTTTGCCTGTACCTGCTTCCTCTAAAACAAGGCACCGCTCTTCAAATGCGCTCGGTGGCGTGCCAGACAACAACAACAAACCGAAACGGAAAAAAAGCGCACCAAAAACAATCCATGACAAAAAGCACTAAAACCGCATGCGCGGGCAGCCTGCCGGCAGTGCTCATACATGAAAAACACCCCCAAGTGTCGGCACCACCCGGTCCTTGCCGATACACGTCTCAATCGACGCCAACAACAACAAATCCTATACGAACGGAGATGCCGCTCAAAAAGCGCTAAAAACGCGTCCGGGAGCACCGTACCGTGGGTAAGCCATCACCAAAACCACGCCCAAGGGTCGGCACCACCCGGTCCTTGCCGATGCGAGTCCAAAACGCCGCCCATCCGACGCCAACCATCGAAAAATACATCCAACCCTAGCTGCAACGCCAACAAAACGCTCCAAAACCACTCAAAAAGCGCTAAAAACGCGCCCGGGAGCACCGTACCGTGGGTACGCCATCACCAAAACCACCCCCAAGGGTCGGCACCAACCCGTCCTTGCCGATGCAAGTGCAAAACGCCGCCCCTGCAACGCCCACGTCCAAAAACACATCTAACCCTAGTTGCGGCCCC